TCTTGATGAGCTGCAGCTGTGCAGGAGGCTCCCTCAGAGGATCCACGGCGGACTCTGCTGGAGAAAGGTGGAACTTCTCCAGCTCCCAACACTTCTGTTCTATTTACATTGCAGTGTCCATATAATCTGTAAAACTCCCTGCATAATTATAATAAAGCAATAACAAAAAGAAGAAAGTTAAAGGTATAGGCTTTAAGACCATCTGCAAGCAGCTTGACGTTCCTGTGACTGTATTTGCACATTTCTATAAATGTAACATCTTTGGGACTGTAGCTATCCTCCCTGGACATGGCAGCAGAAGGGGAATACATTAATAAGATGAATAATAGGTATGGTAACAAAAGAGCCTTGAAAAACTTCTAAAATGATTAAAGGTGAACTTCAAGCACAAGGACCATCAGAGTCAGACCATCATCTTTAGTTGTTTGAGCCAAATTGGACTCAATGGGAGATGGCCAAGGAGGACCCCATTGTTGAAAAGGAAAAAAAAAAAAAACATTAGAATTAGCCAAACTACATGTTGACAAACCATAAAGTTCCTCGGAGAAATTTCTGTGGATTGACGTGACAAAAAGGGTCCTTTTTACCAAGGCACATAGGCCAATGTTCAGAGATAGAAAAATGAGGAATATAAAGAAAAGAAGACTGTCCCTATTGTGAAACACGGAGGAGGCTATGTTATGCTCTGGGGCTGCTTTGCATAATCTGGCAGAGGGAGTCTGAATTTCTTCCAATATTCTAAAGACTATCAAGCGATTGTAGAGAGAATTATTTTGCCCTCTTTCAGAAAGCTTGGTCTCAGTCGCAGCTCATGGGTCTTCAACAAGATAATAAACACACAGCTAGAAGCAGCCAAGGCTGGCCAAGGGGAAAACATTGCAACTCCTCTGAAGTGGTCTTATCTGAACCCTGAACTAAATCTTATTGGGGATATTTGAATGGAGCTGAAACAGGCTTTCTGTAAAAGGCAGCCTTCATACCTGAGACAACTGGAGCAGTTCTCTTACAAGGAATGAACATGCGGAGAGGTTAAGATGTCTCATTGACAGTCCCAGGTATCAGTGGATTTACTGGGATTCAATTTATTTGTGTGATTTTGAGGGGTTTTCTATCACTAAATGATGGAGGAACACATGTCAGAATTAATCACTTTCTTGTCAGTCTTAGGAAAAGTGTGTAGACTTTTTCAAGTTTGTCCACTGAATAAATTTTTTTTTAAAGCATCTGATGTTATTTTATTTGTTCATTCAATTGAATAATTTTCCTCTGTAAAAAGGTTTGTAAGACGCCTAAAATATTGATAAAACGATATTTTAAATTGTAGATCATGGAATTCATCAACAGATGCAGAAATGGATGTCTTACTGTACCTGTAAGAGATACCAATTCTCTCTCTGCTGACCTCAGGCGTGAAGCCCAATGGAACCTTGAACAGAGGACAGTCTATATGAGGAAACATCTCCATTATGCACAGCTTTAGTTTGGGTTCTATGTAACAACCAGAAAAACTCACATCATCCATTTCCAGCTTTTCAACAGCTGGCAGGTTAAGAGAACCAACAGGAATACTGAATACAGGATAAACAGGCTCAGTAAAAGTTGAGTGGAACGTGTGAAACAGAGTCCTTGTGTCATCAGAGAGCCAATAGAAACACAGAATGCCAGCAGTTGAGTCCAGAAATATGCCCAGTCTCCTGGGTCGGGCCAGGAATGCTTTAACATCAATAAATGGGAGTGGAAGGAAAACAGCCTGATGTCTGTGTTGAAATGAGAAACCCCATGATGAATAATCATAAAATAACCAGGTTTCATCACTCCTTAGTATTTCTGCGTCCCATCCTTTCCTCTTAACATTCTTAAAGGCAACACCAATGTTCACACCGCACGCTGTCCACTCCACCTCCCAGTAACAGCGTCCAGATAGAGCCTCTCTGCACAGCACCTGACCCCTTCGTTCAAACCTGTCAGGATGATCAGGATAAGTTTGCTTCTCCGTTGTTAAAGTAACTTGTCTTCCACATTCAGACAGGATAAGGTGTTCATTGGCTGTATTGATGTCAAAGGTCAAATTACAGGCATCTAAGAAGGAAAAGATCAGAGTTAAACAGATAAATAATGTCTGATAAGGAAATTACATGTTTAAAAAAAAACTTACATTTGTTCAGAAGCTGTGGTATGACCCAATGTTCTTCATTCTGATCCAGACTGAGAAAACAAAAGCATAAAAAAGAGTAAAAATTTGATCGTTCCAAACCTCAAATGATAGATGTTGGGAATCAATATAAGAAATATAAATGCAAAGTGAATATCTACCCCTCTCATCCTTGTATTAGTATTTTAAATTGTTTGTTTTTAATGACAAATAACATTTTAAAGCACAAGTATTGGGTTGTCTAAATTCAGGCATTTTTTGTTTATGTTTAAATCCAAAACAAAGAAAAGAAATTACTTCAGTTTTACCCTTTTCACTTACATTCCCAGCATTAAGAAAAGAAAAAAACAGAAAACAATTAACAAAAATATTAAACCATTTTTTTCAGTTTGATTGAATTGTTTTTGAAAAATGCTTTTAGAAGTTGGGTTTTGAATCAGTAATATATAAATAAACTGAATTAATGTGTAAATGTCAGATGGTATTTTAGAGTTTTTTTTATGACTATGTTATTTTGTGCAATATTCTGTTAAGCTGTCTTTATTTATAGTAATGATTAGTGTAAAGACTACAGAAAACCAACTTGAGTATTTCCAGTCTGCATTTTGGATCCTTCAGTCTCTCAAGGAGCACCATCATTCCAGACTCT